AAAGTAAAAGTACTATAAAGTACCCCAAAATACTCTTATTTCAGCTGCTTACGTTCAAATATTGGCAGCTTTACACGAGATGATGGTGAACTAAAACCCTTTGGCATGAGTATGAAAAAAGACATTAGATGACATAATTTTGGGGTTTGGGAGAGACAGACCGACATTTTTCTACATTTTAACACATTTTTCGATAAAATGATTAGTTGACTAATTGAAGAAATAATCGACAGATTAGTCGACAATAGGGCTGACCCAAAAAATTTGAAGCTTCGAAGCTTCGTTTGATGACATGGGATTCGATTGTGAAAAAAAAAAATTCGAGTATTCAGCCTTTTTTTTTCCTCCCGTTTTTTTGGGGGGACCTTGAACGCAACACCATCTCCGACAAGGAAATAGAAAGCCTGACGTGCAATGAATGGAGACCTATTATCCTGCTTAAACACAGACAACAAAATCTTTCAACAGTGTGACTCAAAATAATGATAAAATATATTTTATTGATGTAAAATAATATGCTGATGGTGACATTTTCCACTGGTCCGCTGCTCTCTGAGTCTGGTGTCAGTGACACATGCTGCTCTGAGTTGCGCATTTGTCCGCTTGCGCTGCAGTATGCGCAGAGGGTTTCAATTTTTAGAGTTAAATGAAAAGTTAAACACTACTTATCAGCAACCAGAAGTGTTTTTTCGTTTGTGAATATTTTTATCTTAATTCTAGGGTTGCAAGAAACTCCCCAAGTACCAAGTAATAAAGTAAACATATTTTTAGGGCTGGCCCGAATGCTTCTAGGTTGCGAAGCTCTAGTTGTTGCCATGGTAACCGACATCCAACTCAGTATTTGAATGTTTCTTTTTTCCTACTCTTAAACCTGTGGAGGAAATTGAAAGGAGGTAGCAAATGTCAGACACGAATGTGGCCAGTGTCCTCAGTCACGGACCCCCTCTTCAGAAAACTAAATTGGCTGTCCATCAAGGAAGAGGAAAAGGAAAAGGAAAAGGTGGGACAAGATGTGGACCCTTATCCGTGGCTGGCAACTGAAGTGAAGCACTTGCTTTGCAACCAGTGATGCGGTCAGACCTGCAGTGTTCCGAGTTATTAATAACTCACAGAGACAATGCACGCAATAGTCCACCTTCCACCTCCTCTCCCCCCATCACTCTCCCTCTTACACACACTCACAGTGGCATTATGTTCTACTAAAGGCTCGGGCTGGGGTAGTTAATTAGTGTATATGAATATTATATTATCAGTACTCTGTGTCTTTGGATATCTTCAGTTGGAATCAGTGTGACGAGAGAAATGGTCAGACGGGCTCACACAGAAGAGAATTGATGAGTGTGTTTTTTACAGGAATCACACATTTCTGGTTTATATTTCCCTCGAAATGATCTCATGTTTTTAAGATTTTCATGAAAGTCAGCATAAATGTCAGGAGTTGCTGAGTTCCTTAAGCTGGTGTTGAAACGCAATATAGTGACACATGCAAAGAAAGGTCAATTAAACTGTAAAGCAGCAAGAAGAGTTCATAGGTGCGTCATGTCTGTGTGCTCATGGTCTGGGTTCAAAGATCAATTGTAGTGCAACAGCTTGATTGATGTTGCGTGTCTCAGACAGGGACAGAGTTCCTTCAAGGGAAATTGAAAAAAAGGAGTCTGTCACTTTCTCTCTGCACAGCACACAAATGAGAACTCGTAGGCTTTGTTCAGTCAGTAACACAGACACATTTCCATGGACACACACCACAAATGCATTATTATATTCTGTCCCTGGACACTTGAGACTTCTTCTTGTTTTTGCTTTTGGGTCTTTTCACATTCTTGCACTTTTTTTTTTTACTTTCCTCGACTGTTTTATGTTGTTTCCTTTAATCAAAGCCTTTTCTTGCAGTTGTGTCTCATCCATCATTTCATTCTGGAGCCTCTTAATTTCTCACTTTCTCCACATTTTTCTGTTTTTGATTTGGCATCTCTCTCCACACACCCTTGGTAGGAGAGTGGGTCACTGAGGCTCCCTCCCTGTGTGTGTGTGTGTGTTGTGCATGTTTGGATTGAGATTGAGTTACATAGCTGGATTGTGTAATTGTGAGGTGTGTCTCTGCTGCAGGGAGTCTGCCGCTCTGCTGTTTCCATTGTTGAGGGAGAGTTGAACTTGGAGCCGACGGTACAGTGCGCGTCGTCGTGCTGCGCTGGCTTTCACAGGAAAATGGAGGATGTGTGAGGGAGTGTTGTTGACTCAAAACGCGCCATGCAGCCCGTACAAGTTTACCGTAAATAGGGGATTAAAGCCGTTGTTGTTGGCCACGCTTTGAGTGCATGTCTTGAAGTGAAGGCTGAGTTCTGCCCTGAGCTGTGGTTGGTTTCAATTACCTCACTACAGTCATAAACCCTCCCATACTCCTGTTGTGACTTGTCAGCCTGTATAGATAGTTGGTCTTTGAGCTCAGTGGTATTATAGTGACTGTAGCTGCTGTTGCACCTGATCAAGATATTCTGGTTTATACAGAGGTCAAAATTCTTTGACATGTCAGCTTAATGATTAAGATAAATTTTTGCTGTTTGCGTGGTCATATTTTTTAATAAAACAACATATTTGGTAAGCTGCATTTACAGGCTATAAATATTTCTGAAAACCTTGTGGTAAAGCAAAGCAAAGTGGTCCAAACTGATAATGTGAGCTCACACGGTTCAATCTTGATGATGCCTTTTTTCAGCACCAGTTTATTTTACTGACAGTGAAAAACTGTCATGATAACTTTAAGACATATATGAATACAGGGCCTGAATTTCAGTGTGGCATTGCAGGCATTGTGGATAATTCCATCGATTCCTTCATTTCCGTATTTCATTCATTGTCTTTATCCATATAATGCATCATGATTTATTCGTCTATATATAATTTGAATCTGCAAAGAAACTAGTGACTAATGTTGTAAAATAAATGTAGTGGAGTAAAAAGGAGAATATTGGCTTCCAAAATGTCGTGGTGTAGAAATATAAAATCGCAAAAAATATAAAGGAAGTACCTCAGAACTCTACTTAGGTATAGCACTTGAGTAAATGTACTTAGTTACATTCCACCACTGCTGAGTGGCAGAGAAAAGCTCCTTTTGCACTGCACAAGAAACCCTTTAACACCTGCTAATATCTGGCTTTTTTATGTAATGGGTAAGGTTGCAATGGGCATCCCACCCAGGTCAAATGACTCAGTAGTAGTCGTGGTTATTAGTCGGCAGTGATGGAACTACAACACCCAGGTGAACGCTCTTATTTTAGCCCCTGTACCGGAAAGATGTAATGACGTGCCACCAAAAAATACCGTCCGTCTCCACCCAAGCAGCACTCAGACAAGGTTCCAAATTATTCTGCACTGAGTTTGAAAGAGAGACTGAGTACGTATGAGAAATATTAAAAGAAGTAACCTCTTCAAAGTTTTCACCAGCCTCCATGCTGCTTTCTACTGTATACTAACCTGTTTTCCAGCCTGTCTGTAACGTCGAATGTGACACACTAGAAAAACACGCACACACGCACACAGAAAGGCATACTTGTCTGCTTCAGTGCTGTGGACACTGACAATAGGAAAGGAGTCTATCGCCTATATTTAGTGTGTTTAAAGATCCTGTGTACAAGCACTAATTTTTGTGGTAATGGCGTGAAAGTTTTGAATAATATTGCATGTCTAATTTGATCCACACCTATGTTGAGATTCTTAAAACTACACGGACTACCTCTTTGAAAACCAGAGAATCTATGAATATGGAAATTTTGTTAATTTCAACCGTTAAAGTGCGGGGCACAATACGTCTCCATTGAAAAGTCCTTTTAATGTGTATTGAACAGTAGGGCTGCCACGATTAGTCGACTAATCGATGACTAATTGACTATTAAAATAATCGGTGACTATTTTAGTAGTCGACTAATCGGTTTGAGTCATTTTTCATAGAAAAGTACTATAAAAGTACCCCAAAATACTCTTTCTGCAGCTTCTTACGTTCAGATATTGGCAGCTTTACACCCTCTCCCGTGACAGTGAACTAAAACCCTTTGGCGTGAGTATGAAATAAGACATTAGATGACGTAATTTTGGGGTTTGGGAGAGACAGGCCGACATTTTTCAACATTTTAACACATTTTTCGATGATATGATTAGTTGACTAATTGAAGAAATAATCGACAGATTAGTCGACAATGAAAATAATTGTTAGTGGCAGCCCTATTGAACAGCTACTGTGATCAACTGATCTGCCATTAATTTTCTCAGTTGATTATAGTTTGATCTATGGTATGTAATAAAACGGTGAAAAGTGCCCATCCCTAGATGATGTCATTAAATGTCTTATGTTTGACTGTACAGTAAAACACAAAGATATTCAATTGACTTAAATATAATACAATGAAAAGCTGCAGGTTCTAACATTTGAGAAGCTCAGTTTATTTGTAAATGACCATTTTGAAAGAAGTTATAAAAAATACTATGCAGGATTGTCAGTTATTGTTTGTAAACACGCTTGCCAGCAGAAGTGAAAGTAAAATCCAACCCTGGGTTCACTCTTGTTTGGTGTTTCACTTCAGTATATTTGCATTTGTAAGTGCTGCTTTTAAGGAAAGTACAGCAAATAATATTGTGATATTGATTTAAACCATACAGAGCAGCCATATGGTTTTTTTTCTTGAGTGTTTCGCCTTGTTCCACCCCACTGATCGGCTAGTATTAACCCTAACCATAACCTCTTTGCCCTAACGCTAATCGCTTCCGACCTCAGTGTGTTGATGTGACAAATACAAGAAAATCATAGCGCAGTGGTGCAGGACTTCGAAGAGTACTCCTGGGGGAAAAAATGTGCTTGTCCCAGTTAATGAACTTGTATGACTCGACTTGACCTCTGAACGTGACTCTGGGCTGATTGGCAGGTTACTCTCCTGGTTAGACATTGTTGAATGTTGTAGCTATTATTATATTCACATATTATCTTCAACTAATGCTTAATTTGTTCACAGATTGAAGACCAGCGGATGCCAGACAGCTGTACAGTGAAAACCTCAGACCTCAAACTGCAGTCCTCACCTGTCCAGCTGATGGCATGCCAATCGTCAACACACCAAAGAGGGAAGTCTGAATGATGCCCTAGACCTCCCCCTCTGCTCGCTGTCTGCAACATCACTCTCTTCCCTGCCTACTTCAGCTCTTCTCTGATCAGACATCTGCTGGATATCTCAACATGGATACAGAGACCATCGACCTAGACGGATGCTACTACAACAAGAGCATCAAATTTTTCTATGAGAAGAGTGGAAAGAACATTAGCGACCACTGGAGCACACGTAGCTATGTGATTGTCACTCTGGGCATGACGGTCTGCTTCGTCGTCATCTTTTCCAACCTTTTGGTCATAGGCGCCATTTTAAAAAACAGACGTTTTCACTACCCTATCTACTATCTGCTGGCTAACCTGGCTCTGGCTGACCTCTTCTCAGGTATGACAAATGATCCGAATACCTAAACTGCATTGTCACATCTGTTATGTTATTTTATATCAAGTTTTAGTGCTGCTACAGTTCAGTCAGAAAGTACAGCACTAGAACAGACACACAATGTCAGGGTATCTACAGGTGTTAAAAAGTGTTAAAGCTCTGATTTTCTCAAAAAAGGCCTTCAGAGTAATCTCTGAAATGTTTCAGTATCAGATTGCAGGCTGTCAGGCAGCTGTGCCCCCAGAATCTTCTCATAGGTGTGGCCAGATGGGAATACTGTAAATCTTGGAGTGGCACACCAAAACCAAAAACCATAACTGACTTTCATATATTTAATTATGCTGTAGAAGGTTATAGGCTAGTTCAAAACTATGTTAATATGAGATTTAAGGAATCACGTACCGATATAGTTTGGTTTCTTATTTTGTAGTTGAAGTTACCAGATATTTGAGTTCAACAACAATCCTGTTTTAAAGTGTTATGGGATAGTCATTGTTCTTTAAATAGGCTGGTTGTCCTTGTTACTTAAAAAGACAAATATACAGCTTTAATTTGAAGGAGTTTTGAAGGAGACTTGTGGGTACCTATAAAATCCATTTTCATTCAGATATCTTGAGGTGAGAGTTGAAGGTAGCCCTTTGAAAATGGCCACGCCAGTTGTTTCCTCACCAACATTTCATATTTAGTAGGGATGTTCCTTGCGACTAATTTCCCTGTCAGCTAAACGAAAATTTTGATTAAGTCTAGTTGATTAGTCTAAAAAAGGAAAACACTCAGAAAACAGTCAAAATTTAGCACAATTTATCTCCTCTGTCATTTTATAGTTAATGTGCTCCTTCCTGGAGGTTATCATTTTGTGTCCCAGCATGGTGCAGTCAGGCTCAACATATTCCATTAACATCCTGAAGCCTTTACCTTCAACAAAGTTAAGCGAAAGCTTATATTGTGAGGTCGTTGTTGTGATGAGCTGCGTTATTTTCTCAGACCGGGCGGGATCACAACGATGCACGGCTAGCAGCAGAAGCAGCCGTCGTTCCGTGCAGGTTAACATCCAGGTGCTTGAGTTGAATGTGGTTGCGCATTGCTCCAGTCTGGTGATTATATGCCAGTTTTTCTGACACAGCCTACATGCTACCTCGTTTTCATTTTCTGGATCAAAGTCCTGCCAAACCACGCTGGTTTTGTGAGAGGACATCTCTCTTATTTCCCACCGTGCTGTTTTAAAATTCCAGTCTACTCGAGCATTACCCCGGGGAGGGGGACTCGGCTCTGTAGCACCCACTAGTGGCGGGTGGTTGCATGACAGTTAAGCAGCTGTGAACATGAATAAAACATTAATTGGTTTAACCAACTAATATTTCTGGTGCCGACTAGTGAGGAAGTTTAATCGTTTAGACGACTAATCGCATGCATAGCTATTATTCAGCCCCCTACCTGACAAGCTATGCCAACATGGTTGGTACCAAAGATGCCTTAGTTTGTTTTTACATAATAAATATCTACCTTCGTGCTAGCTTTAAAAATGAATGTGCCACAGCGTCTTAAAGACAGTAATGTCTGCCTTCAATTGTCATCTTTTATTGTACAAGTTCAAAACATGTCACTGTTGTAATTACTTTCTGACTTTCTACACTATATCTCTACCTGCCATCTATTTATCAAGTTTTACAGTCGGTCAGTTCAGCAGGCTGCCGTCTTCACCATGTTATTAATAGAAAAGGTGATTAGTGCCATAAGACCTATAAACTCTGCATGTTAACATCTGTTGGCTGTTTTTAACCACACCAGAAATGCTGCTATAAACTGTGTTCATATTAGGATGTTGTTTTAATGAACTTTGCATCTCTCTGTGCACTTTATAAGATCAACCATGTCTTAGCTGAGATATTTGATGTCTTGAGTGCAGCACACAAAGGCTGCGTCATGTAGTGTCACATCTGGGGACCAAATGTGATCGAGTTGGTGCTTTTATGGAGAGTTAATGAGTGTAGATGCTGGGAAGTAGCACAGTGCTGTATCTTGGCGCTGTGATGCTGGTAAATCTGCAGTGACGTGTACTGAGATGCCATTGATGTGCAGGATTACAAGGAAAACAATCACAGCGGGTGTTGTGACTGGCATTGTATAGCTTTAAGAGATCAGGACCTGCTTATCTCATAAGTAGGTAAATGAACCTTTTAATGTTGTGGATTTGTTTTACTTCAGACTGGTTGGCCCACTGTTCTTAAATTTTTTCACAAGTATATGTGATATCCTAATATCAACATTGTCACTTGGAATGGCTGAAATCAGTTGTCTTTTTTAATGGTGAAATTGGTGACCTTGTAAATACAAACCATAAATACAAAGTTCTTCATACCCACATATTGCAAACAAAGATATGAAAATGACATTCAGGAGTTTATCCTGTGTTTTCATTTCTGTCTTTTCTGTTATCACACCCCCTCTCTTGTCTTTCAGGTGTCTCCTACCTCCACTTGATGTTTCATACTGGTCCCTGGACCATTAAGCTCTCTAAGTTCCAGTGGTTTGTGCGACAGGGGCTGATCGACACCAGTCTAACAGCCTCGGTCCTCAACCTCCTGGCTGTGGCCGTGGAGCGTCACCAAACCATCTTCAACATGCAGCTGCACAGTAAGATGAGCACCCGGCGTATTTTTGTCATCATTGTGTTCATCTGGCTGGTGGCCATAATCATGGGCCTGGTTCCCACCATGGGCTGGCACTGCCTGTGCGACCTGTCGAACTGCTCCACCATGGCGCCGCTGTACAGCCGCAGCTACCTGGTGTTCTGGGGCGTCCTCAACCTGCTGACCTTCTCCATCATGGTGGCCGTCTACACCCGGATCTTTATCTACGTGAGGCACAAGAGCAAGCAGATGTCGCAGCACACCACCCAGATGAGACACAGAGAGACCGTGTTAAACCTGATGAAGACCGTCTCCATGATCCTGGGTGAGGGAGCGCACACACGCTACACATTGAGGGCTGAGCAACAAACTGCAAACTTACTGAAACCTACATAACGGCTCTCTCCTGACGGCATCAATAAGCAGCAAAACAAAAAGGTTACAGCTTCAGTAGAAACATTTTTCAGTGCACATTTGACAGTTTAGATGCAGCTCACTGACTCAAGTGTTTGCTAATATCACAACACATACCCAAATTATGTTTGGGCATGAGTACTCAGTTTCAAGTCATCAGCATTGTTCAGTGTATTATCACATTTTTTTACTTAGTAAAAGAAAACATACATTTGTGACAAATATAACTGTTAAAAGGTTTATGCTTTTTGGACAGGACGCAGTGCTCAAACAGCTATCATTGAATATCTGCTCAGATCTATGTAGCAAAAAAAAAAGGTATCTACCCAGCCGCAGATAACGCTCAGCGTTTTCATACATCACTTGATCTAACATTATAGGCAGATTAGCGACCAGGCATAAGAGCAATGTTGGAGGTATTTTGACAAAAAAAAATAATGTGCATTGCAACCTATGTGACATTAAACAAGCATATCATAGCAAATATCGACAGTCAGTGCACAAAGGCAGACTTATCCTAACCCCTACCTGCATTTTCACTTGGGCGTTCATTTCAGACCCTATTTTTGTGTTTATTTTATTTTTTCTTCTTTTTTTGCGAGCACTCCATAATAACTTAATGTGAGTACTGAAATATGGAAATTACTTAAAAAGCCCATCCATAACCCAAATACATCATGCAAATGGAGGGAAAATCAATGGAAACCATTAATGTTCCCCAGATCTATTTTTATTTGGGGAATTTAAAGGGATAGTGCACCCAAAAATGAAAACTCAGCCATTATCTACTCACCCATATGCCGAGGGAGGCTCAGGTGAAGTTTTAGAGTCCTCACATCCCTTGCAGAGATCCAAGGGGAGAGGAGGTAGCAGCACAACTCCACCTAATGCAGGCTTCAGGACACTTGGATCACTATGGACGAGCAGTATGGAGATATTTTGTGGTTTCAATTATGTGTTTTTGGATGTTTGAATCTGGGGCCATCAGCCTGCAGGTGGAGTTTTGTTGCTACCTCCTCTCCCCTTGGATCTCCGCAAGTGTTGTGAGGACTCTAAAACTTCACCTGAGCCTCCCTCGGCATATGGGTGAGTAGATAGTGGCTGAATTTTCATTTTTGGGTGCACTATCCCTTTAAGTTCATTGTTGACCTTGGAAAGACTTGTTAGACCAACAAAAAACAACAACTTTTTCAATCACATCTAACACACTGTAAAGCAGAATCTACTGGTTTAACATAAAAAGATGCATGCAAAATGTTAACTTAATTTTTTTAAGTAGTTCCAACTCTGGCATTATTGAGTTTTAGTACAACCAACATGATTTGTTTTGACATTGAAAAGCTTAATCAAGCTGAAACAACTTAATATTTATCCAAAAGTTGTGGTGATATTTAGTGATGATTAAATTACTTTATTTGATATTCTAACTTATTATTTTTATTCAGTCCTACTAAAATGTTTTTGATTTTGACCAACTTCTTAGAATAAGTTGTCAACTAACTAAAACATGTTGAAACAAATAAACAAACCAAATTTTTAATGGTGAAAAATGTATATATTTTAAGCATTATCCACCAACCCCATGAATCAATGCAGTCGTCATCAATGCATGGATATACTGTATAATACAACCTGCTTCACTCAGGCCACGTTATTATGTCATTTCTTTTAGGGAATCTGGTGAATATTCAGCATCTCAGTTGCATTTTCTCCTCATTTATTTTTCTACTTTGCATTACTGAAGAAACCAAAGCCTCCTATACACAGTACCTACTTTATTATCACAGTTTTAGTTCTGAGACCTTCAACAGGTAAAATCTATCTGTGTGTGTGTTTGGTGTGATTCTTGGGTTTGTTCAGTCAAGATTTTTCAATCTATGCTCCTGCCAGTAAGACTTTGTGGTGACCTCATGGCAGGAGGACCTTGTTTACTGTAAACGGTGGTAGGTTCCCAGCAGGAGCCACAACACGTTTTGGGTGTTTGGGGTCATAAAATTCAGTGACCTTCTCCATTTGTAAGTAATCACCTCAATGTGATTCGCCTGCAAGCATCTAAAAACGTGGTTTTCTACACCAGTGAATATTGTAATTATCTTCCTTGAGTTGGAAAAAAATCATCTGTATTCATAAATTAAAGTTGGAGTCAGCAGTTCTGGAGAAAGATTGATGTTATTTGACCTCAACACCCAAACAAATACACCCCTTCTGTCAGCGCTCCCTCAGTGGCTCCAGTTACATCTTCGTTGTTATTTATGTTTCAGTACTATCATGGTGTAGCTCTGCTCCTCATGGCTGAGGACGTGGAGGACATGGGAGAGTAGATGGCATAGTGTTGTGCAGCTTGCTCTGAACCCAGGGTTTCCCACACATTCATTTATTTGTGGCAGCCCACTACCATTAAAACATCACCTGCCACAAATACAATTTCTATTTTTGGACGGTTCATTAGGAGCGCTGTAGGAATATGTAATAGCACCACGCTGTCAGAGCACTGAACACACTCCAGGCAGACACTAACTGTTCATCTGCTGGGTCTAAAAGTTCACATTCACTCGCAGCAGCTGCTCCTCTCATCTATCAATCTGATCCGATCAGCTCTGAGTTGATCGACACATCAATTAGTAACCAACTTCTGCTGAGCTCGGCCTGCACTGCGTTCACGGACCCACAAAAAATTTGAAATTCAGGGATGGAACACAGACTGAAACAAAGGGACTCGATGTTTGTTTCTTATTTGCAGATCTAGTTTATGAACACTGGATTGTTTATCGGCGCACACACAGAGCGGAGAGCTCGTGGACCCTGAGGAGATTTTTGTTGAATTTGAAAAAGAAAGTGTTGGATTAGAATCGCAGACTGCACCTTTAATGCTCAGAAACTGGGCAGAAAGCAGAGTGTACAGATGTGGTTTTGTGGTTTGGTGAAATTGACTGACATATGTCTCTCAGTGCTGCATGGAAACACCTGGCAGAGCTCCACTTACATTAAAGCTGCAAGAAAAGCACTGACAAAACACAGAAATCCCTCCAGATAATATATCATGCAGGAGAGACTGATTGAAAGTTGGTTCAGGGCCTTTAATTACACACCCCCACATAAATACCACATGTACATATTACTCATTTTGCTCATTGTACAAGACAGTTTTCAGGGAAACACGCCTGAATCCTCACAGAACAAAACAACAAACACTGTCAGACTCTTAAACACACAGGCTGCCATGCAGGCTCCTCTTTGCCTGTCTGTACTTGTTAAATGAGACTCTACTCCCCCCCACACATTCACTCCTTCCCTCCTTCTCCTGCCGATTCCTCTTGTTTTCTGCTGAACTGATCATGCTCCCTTGCTCCTCTGCTCTCTTTCCCAGCCTCCCCTTCTTCTACTCTCACATTTTGAACTTTCGATTAAATTCCTCAAAGTTTTAAAAAAGTTACACTTCTTTCTGCCGTCGCTCAGCAGCCGAGAATCAGCACCTCTGGCATGCGGCGAGGGCAAGAAAAACCCTGAGCATGCCCTGACAGGGAGCTGCATAGTTTAGTTACTGTGACAGAAAACAGCTTCTCCCCTGTCCGTAAGACACCACTGAGTGTGTGTGGGGTGTGTAATCTTTTACTTCACTGTTTACAAGGACCAGCGTGAGTTTTTGACCTTGAAAGTGAGGACATTTTTTAAGGCGGTGATATTCTGGCGGTTTTTGTGTCTTCACGTTGTGGTTCTAGAGTTAAGACTTGGTTAAACACAAAGGTTTGAGGTTAAGCGTGGAGTTGTGACAGTTGAGGTCAGGGGCTTAGGAATGCATTACACGTCATGCGTGCGAGTGTGTGTTACCACATCATCTTCACATTTCCGTCTCCAGCTCGTACATGTACATGTACATGTGTTAGTGCTGAACATGCTGCGAGTGTGTGCACATAATGAATTCCTGAGCTGCCTAATCGAGTATTATGATAATGAAATCTGATCATACAGACTAAACCCAGTCCTCATGCTGACATGCTATGTTTCTGGTGTGTGTGTGTGTGTGTGTGTGTGTGCATTGTCTACAGAGGAATTTACAGTACATTCCCTGTCTCCCTTAGTTAGCCCCCCATTTCTTCACATTCTTTAAAACTCTGTCTGCAGTCTGGTAATTTTCTTTCCTCCTATTTTATCTGTCACTATCCACACCTTTTATTTTTTATTTTATTTCCAGTGTTACTACAAGTTTTCTGATGACCTTGTGTACCCTTGCTCTCCCTCTCCCTCCCCCTACAGGCTGTTTTGTGATATGCTGGACGCCTGGCCTGGTCATACTGCTGCTCGACGGCCTGGGCTGCGCCTCGTGCAAGGTGCTGCGATACGAGAAGTACTTCCTGGTGCTGGCCGAGTGCAACTCCTTCGTCAACCCCATCATCTACTGCTTCAGGGACAAAGACATGAGGAGGACCTTCAGGCAGATCATGTGCTGCCTTCGGGGCCGCGACCGCAAGAGCACCTCTGGAGTTCACTTTAACACCCTGGAGCACGAGGTACTGTCCGACAGCAATGGAATCGATGACTGCAGTCACAAACAAAACAACCACTCGCACTAAGAACTGTTTATAACAAAGCCCTGAAACCACACTGACTGTTGACAGATGACTATGAATATCTGTTCACCACACACAGTACGACCATGACAACCACCACAAACAGTTTAGGAGATATGACGAACTGACACTTTGGTCGACTTGACAATTGATACATCTCAGTTGTTTGGTTTTTTTTTTTAATTTTGCTTTTCTCACCAAAAAATCTGATCATTAAATAATGGTTTAAAGGTCAAGTGTGTAGGATTTACAGGCATCTATTGGCAGAATGAAATATAATATTCATAACTGTTTTTTAGTTTATAATCACATAAAACCAAGAATCATTGTGTTTTCATTACCTGAGAATGAGTCGTTTCCCTCAACGGACAAACCAAACCAAAGGCTCAAGATAGGGCCATATGTGTTTTTTCACGTCAGCCATGGTTGTAGTTCTCCTACCGCAACCTCACTGCTAGATGCCTCTAAATCCTGCACACCGGACCTTTAATATTAAACACAATGTGGATCATGATTTGAAAAACATCCAGGTGCAAATCAGATTTGAAAACAGCTTTGACTAAACCACTCAGTACCTTAACAGGTCTTAAAAAAACAACAAAGAAGCCTTGGTCCACTTCAAGCAGCTATAAGTGATATTTTTACAAGAACAGTGTAGCAGATGAAATTGTGAAAACAAAGGAGCTGCTGATAGCGATGGACCTAAAGAGAATTATCACCTGAATCTGCAGCTCCCCTCAGCTTTATGGAGCTTAAAGTGAGTTTTAGCTCATCTGTCCGGTCATAGTGTCATTTTCATAGTGCCAAAAAGATCCCAAAATTCACTGTACGAAACCTGCTCAGCACCGAACAGCAGGCAGAGACATTTAGTGACTAACTGATGAACACAGTGGAGGATTGGTTGAATATTAGACTTACATCTGCAGAAACACAACCAAATATGAGTTTGTATTTAAAGTCGTACGCACTAAAAGTGTGACGTCATTACACTTCAACGTCTGTCCTGCTTAAATTCACTGCTATGACCAAATATAAACAAACATGCTTCTGCTTTCCAGTCGCTCTGTGTGTGTGTGCACATGATGGACAATAGTAACACTGTGTTGAATATAAAACCTCTGAATATTAGCTCTGTTGTTCTGCACTGTCACTGTGTTCACTTGTGTCAGAGAATAACTGTTGATCAATGTTGCAGTGCTTCAGCCTGCTGTGGTGTGAACGCACTTTGTTGAGCTCTGTGTTGCCTATAGAATACATACCATTTTTTATACAGCACTGTGAATTGCAGTAAGCGACAGACAGTGTCACAGTGTTGTATGTGAAAACCATTTCAGAACTGTGACCTGTACTTTGCTCCAGGTTTGCAAATGTCACCAACAGTATCAGTCAATTTATAACCAACAGGTGAATCAAGTGGCTATGTGAGGTGAAGCAGGTGTCCTCACTCAAAGTCTTATTGGATCACTCACCATTACTCACTTTTTAGATAGAAACTGAACAAGCGTTTCATTTGATTCAGGTGTGCAAAATTTATTTTCGTATTTGTTGGAGTTAAACTATAATACAGGCACCCCCTCCACACACTCTTTGTGTCATTTGTTGAGTGCTGTAGGTTTTGTTTCCCCTTCATCTGTGTGGCATCACATTTGTGTCTTAATTCTGAACACTGGATGGGACATTTTAGCATGTTTTCACCCATAAAAGTAACATTTTGTAGTGAAATTATTGTTTATTTTAAATCAAATCAAACTTTATTTGTATAGCACTTTTCATACATTAAAAATGCAGCACAAAGTGCTTCACAGAATAAAAACATACAACAAAAATATTACATACATACTGAAAACCCGCCCCTCCCACCCCCATATATAAACACACACACACACACACACACACACACACACACACACGGTCAATATAGTCAATAACATGGCTGGGCACTGAGGAACCAGGTGAGGAAAGAACCACCTATGGGGAGCTCATCCACACTGAGAGGTGTCACAGCCTACGGCCACAGGGAGCACCACCACAGAGACCACCCCGACCCAGATAGACTGGGGTGGACTCCACACATGGTGCAGAGCCCCCCAGTCCTCCAGACCTGAGGGATCTCCAGGACGACGTCCCTGCGGGCAGACCGGACACACCTCTCAGCGTGGAGGCCCCCCATGAGGAAACACTGGAGCTAAAAACTAAAAAATAAATAAATGAAGATTTAGAAACTTAATAATAATAAAATGCATAAAGATTTAAAAATAAATCATTTAAAAGCATTAGAAATTAAAATAACATATAAGAATTAAAAGAGTAAAAGAAATCAGTTAAAAGCCAAACTAAAAAGGTGAGTCTTGAGCCTCCTTTTAAAAACATCAACAGTCTCTGCAGTCCTGATGCTCTCTGGCAGGCTATTCCACAAGTGAGGGCCATAATGGCTGAATGCAGCCTCCCCGTGGGTTTTTGTTCTAACTTTTGGAACAGTTAATAGGCTGGTGCTGGAGGACCTCAGGATCCGCGAGGGTTGATATGATAAAAGCAGGTCAGATAAAGAAGATGGCCCAAGATCGTTAAGACATTTAAAAACTGATAAAAGAACCTTAAAATCGATCCTGAAACACACGGGGAGCCAATGCAGCCATTTTAAAACTGGTGTAATGTACGCCCGCCCTCTGGTCCTCGTCAGCACGTGTGCGGCTTAACAAACTAAGACTCAGAATTATGTCAGTTGAATTGGATTTGGCAGTTCAACACAAATATTCGACAATTGGTTCCCTGTTTTTCTGTCTAAAGTTTGAGAGTTTGAACAGGGTTAAGCTGGACATTCAGGGTGACAGTGACATTTACATAATAAAGGAAATAAGACAGGTTAGCCCTCCGAGCTAATGCATGCTAACTGCTCTTCTGATGAATTGGGAAGTGTGCAACAATTTTTTGCAGACACTAGATATCCAACAAAAGCCAGAGACTGTGTGTCAAACTGGACAACATAAACATTCTAAATGGGTCCAAAAATAGAAAAATGCCCATGCACAGCTGAAGTCAAGGTGCTGGTGCTGTGGCAAAAGTACAAACGTGTAAAGAAAAAACCACATATATTGTGGCTACGTACCGCACACAAGACAGGACTGAGAAAGAGGATTGAGAATTTAATAGAGCAACGCGTTTCGCTTACAGCTTCATCAGGCTCATACTGGGCACAGGAAGACAGTGGTTTAAATAGGAAACAGCTTCTAAATGGGTCCCTTTGTGTTTCCTGTTTGAATGTATGTTAATGCAGAAGCTGATAGGAAGTAAACAGGGACCAAATTTGTTGCCCTAGCAACAGAATAGCAATGAAACGGTCCATACTTGCTGCAGACAATGTGTGCGTGTACGCTTCACAGCTGCCATGCGTATTTTGTGGCCGTTTGGCGCATAGACCGCTCACTTTGACGCGAGGTAACGTGACGCATGTGTGAGATCCAATACTGACATGAACACAAGAGGCGCTCATGCGAAGTAGACCTCTAGAGACCGTGAACGTGAGGTCGACAGCCTTTCTTCAGAACAATAGTTCTGAAGAAAGGCTGTCCTGCATTGTGTATAGCCTACTACATCCGGAAATACAGTGTCACCGCCTTCTTCACTTTTCGTGACCTCTGTGTCTGAGTGCTGTGGTCTGCCCCTAGCGGAGACCACCAGTATCAGGCGTTTTGGCAGCGTCGACAAACAACTGTGTTGCGGCAAGTATACACACAAGCGCAGCACACTATGTACGCGTACGTTTGTCCACACAGCCAGTATACTTGTGCCCTAAGCCAAAGGCAGAGGATAACGGAATATTGGAGCCTGACTGGGCAAGGCATCTTTTCCTCGGGGGAACCTTCCTCTGTCTCATTCAGACTCATCGTGGGTCTTTCCACAGCTGCCTGTACCAAAAGAGCAGCGTGAAAGTGTGGAACGTTCACCATGCAGCTAAATCAAGGGTCCAAACATCCCCAGAAATACACTGCACACTGACTGACCAAAAAAATACAGCTTCATTTGAAGATTCTCAGTCAACTAAGGGTCTCCAGCCGATGATTAAAATCTTTGATTCTCAGGAGTAGCCCTACTTTTATGCTCAATATTTTTGTGTGTGCCTGTGTTTGTAGTCATTCACATAAGTGCACAATGATTTGCCCTCTGTGTTTCTTTGCTCTGTGCACTCCCAACCCCTCCAACTCTTGCTCACAGTGTCTCTCCTGCTCTTAACATCCCCAATTTGCCTGTACACTCACTCAACCGGACACAGTGTGTCACAGTTTCAGCTAATAGGATGATTAGTAATTTCTGACAGGCTGTTTTGTCTCAGTTTTGGTCACTATTGGTTTTTGTTTGTTAATAATTTCTCTATAAAATATAATATGTCTGTGTGCTAATATTCTAATGAAGTGTCCCATCACACACTCAGAGTTTAGACACAAATATAGTTGCATTGCCCAGCCAGAATGTCACAGTCCATGAAGCAAACTTCAGCAAAACATCAAGGAGTGACCTTGATCTAACTCTTCAAATAAAAGGAGGCCTAAGTGGTGACTCCGCCTTTTACTATAAACAGATTTCTTTTTCGGAATTACCCTGATGTCTTATGCAATCGTGACTTAGTTTATAGAGAGCACAACATTTCCATGTTCTCCGTGCTGTTTGCTAGTTTGTGTGTGTTGGATGGCGTGCTCGTGCTGTACAGTCTTAAACCAGTCCAGATGTGTGCTGGTGGTTAGAGTGGGTCATGCTCCTTGCCACATTTCCTCTGACTTGCTACTCTGGTATGTGTGTATGTTGGAGACATGCACTCTGTCTCTCATACACATGCATGCCGCCTGTTAATGGTGCTAGCAGGAAGTGCTAGCGCTGCAAGTGTATGTGTGTGCACATGCATATGAGCATGTGCACTGATTTACAGACGCACTGTTTTACATATTTTTTTCGTTAGTGACATTAAGATAGAGAAGAAGAGGAGAGGAGGCCTGAGGGGAGGGAGGCATTAGTGAGATGGTTTGGAGAAATTAGCATTTGCCCTCTCTTGTGTGTTGTCGATAAAATATGTCAGTGACTCACGCAATTGAGAAGGAAGTTGGACATTTATGGATAATAGCAAATCATCAGCAAGTACTCTTAAAGGACTACCATTACAAGAGGATATTAAAGGCATAATATTACATTCAAAGCATATTCTTTGTCTTTAGATTTCAGATAAATGAACGTGTTGATACTTATTTTCATATTATAGGCCTGCAATTGATATTATGTTGCAGGCAGAAATGTCAGGAACATTTTCATATTGCTTTGGGTTTATTTTTGTAAAAACATTGTTAAAAGTGTTATAAATAAATGCATAAATCTGCCTACATCTGTGATTGTTTGGTCTTGTCTGTCTGCCTGCTTTGCGTGTCAGCGTGAGTGCTTCTTTGTGATCATTTACATTTGATTTGAAGTCAAACTGTGGAAACTACACATAAACCTGTTTTCAATGTCCCACTCTCTCAGCTTGTTTCGTTCTTTTTGCTTGTTTGGACATGACTAACCCATTTTCTTCTCTTTCTCTTTCACTTCCCGTTACTTTCTGCTGCACCTAATCCCCATTCCTTATTTTCCTTTCCCCTCTCCTGATCCCTTTATCTCATTCAAATCTCGGCCTCATATTCTCATCTGTCTTTCTGTCTGTAGAACTATAAGTCTCGTATTGCCAGGCCAACAGAGGGCAACGGGGCGCTTCTCATCCGGGACGAATCAGAAGACGTCCCTGCCTCTTCAGAAACCTGAATGAACTCAAACAACGAGGAACATTCAGCACACTCGAGTCATGCAGACACACACTTGACGCTATCTCTGCTGGCATAAACAAGCCTTAAGACCTGTTTTTCCTCAGCCAGCAGACCGTCGGGTCGGGGTCAAAAAACTGTTTATTCTTTCAAAACCAAATGGATTTATACCTCTGCTACCAGCAGACAATGGTGTGTGTCTGCAGAGCAAAGAAGAAAAGTTAACTTCTAATCTCAGTCGGCCAACGTGATAGTGAAAGAATCTTCTAATTCAGCTGGAAGCAAGTGGCTCATTTGTGCTCCATTAACAACCTTCAGCAGACACAAGACCTCAAAGCCTTTCATACTGGGTCATTTAAACAACATGGTGGAACACTGGAGAGCCCATTTCCTGTTGAGACATAAATGAGATCTGCCAGTTGACCCTAAATAGATGATGGTAGAAGGTGGCCACTGAACAACTGGAACATGTTGGCAGCGCATGGAAGAAATGACTTTAAGTGTGTGGAGAGTCGCCAAGCATATAAATGTGCTCTGTCATATCCTTGTGATGGATTCTTGTATATGTGAGTTTATTTGTTGAATCAGTCTAAAGCTAATGCAGTCTCTGTTCAGTTTTTGTTGAAACTGTTTTAGAAAGATGTTTTGTACTGCGTCCTACAGAGATGTCTGTGAATGGATGTGGTGGACAAAATAATACCACTTGTTGGTAACAAACAGTTTAGACAGACCTGAACATTATGGCCTTTATTAGGGCAGAGTTTGTTGCATTACTTTAAGCAAGGTGTGCCTAATAAACTGGCAGTGTGTATGGAATCAGTGGACATCGATGATACCAGGGTTCATTTTGTACATAAAGAGGAACTCTGAATTTCTTCAACCTGGACGCTTTTTCCATGTATTTATGTGGAGTGACTCACGACACATAATAACAATATTTGAAACTCGTTCAGTATTTAGATAGAGCTGCAGCTGGCAGCAGCAAAACAGGCTGCAAATTAACCACCCGGGCAGGTGTTTCGTGTCAGTTTACATCCATTCAGAGTGCTTGTCTCTGCCACTAACATGCTCACATCATTATTATGACTGTCTTACAACATTATGGAAAGAACCCTACAGAGAAATGAAACGTTTTTCCACACTTCTCGTTAGTTCCAGTCTTGCTAAAAGGGAAGTCTTGGTGTGAAATCTCATGAGAGGCGACTTGTTGCAGGAAGAAAATGGTGGAAACAGGAGTAAGATTCAGAGGGAGGAGTAGCGGGGGTAGTTTGTTGTTTCTGAGCACTGAAAGTGTATCTTACTCTTATCTAAAAGGTTTTCAGTGTCATGTCACAAGAGTCAGAGATTTCAGAACAAGACCTCTCTTTTAGTGAGACACAAAACAGACTTGAACAAGCAAACAATCAAGGGGAAATGTTTCATTTGTTTTTAGGGTTCTCTTCATGATGTAAGGCACTCATAATAATAATCTGAGCCTGTTTGTGGCAAAAACAAGCACCTTTATTGGATGTAAACGGATGACGTGCACTTGCCCCATGTGGTTACATCGCAGCCTGTTTTGCCGCTGCCACCTGCAGCTCTCTGGATCAATACTGGACGTATTTGAAAGATTTTTGTCCCCATTTGTCACTTAAATACAAAAACATGGGAAGGTAGGGTCTAGGTTGAAAATTACGGAGTTTCCTTTAAGACACAATGTGTAGTAAAAGGCCACTGAAGCTCATGGAGATGACCAAGTCGACCCTAAACTTGACGTTATAAAGGGATTTGTTAATGGTTGATAGATATTGATTAGTAACATGTTGAAATTAGCAGCAGCATCTGTGTTGCCAGGTTATGAAAAATAACCTGCACTGTGTTCAACAAGCTCCTTAATTCATGCAGGAAAACCCTCTCTGATCGAGAGCTGCAGAGCATCCAGACCAAAATCCATTAATTACCAACTTAACATTTACTGCAGCTGTCATATTCAGCCACTGTCTCGTCGTCGTGGCTCTCTGAGCTGGTACACGTTTGGTTCTGAGCTGATTGTGGGTCTAGTTTTTTGTTGTTTGTTTTATAATTGTCACAACGGCTTGGTACAAGTTTCTTATTACTGTTAGTGTCAGTAGTGGCATGAATGTTATATTTGATTTTATAGTTGTAAAGGTTATTTAACTGAAGACCTGATAGACTATTGCACTGAAATAACCCTCAATCAGGGATTTACTATCCATGTGTAACTGATGATTTACTATTAAGATAGAAACTCGGGACCCTTTAATGGCTCGCTTTTTAATAATCCTCGAGATAAAGATCTCACTAAAAAGACAGCTAAATATCCTTAAAGAGGATGAACGCCAACCAAATGTAATTTCCCAGCTTAGCAGCTCATTACTCTTATAAATGGCTTATTACCGATCTCAAAGGCTTTAGTAATACTTTATAAACATTAATAAAGCCTAAGTTAGAATTTAAAGCTTTTAATTCAATCGTCTTGGCTTAGGATGATAACATTTGAGATGTGTATTTATAGTTTTTACCTGAACATCTTCACACTTAAAGTGGAAAAGACTCACCCTTTAATGTGCTTGTTAAAGGTCCAGTGTGTACGATTTAGTGGGATTTGGTGACATCTAGTGGTGAGGACTGCTCATTGCAACCAGCTGAAATGTCTCCTGATCAGAATTCCCTCAGTGTTCATTGTTCAGGAGGTTTTTAAGGGGAGCTGAATTATCTGCAGAGGTCTCCTCTCCAAAAGAAACAGACCCGGTGATTTAAACCGGCTAAAACACTGACTAAAGCAGTTTCACATGACAAAGCAGTGTTTATCTGATGCAGTTTGGCACATGTCAGAGAGACTGCTAGTCCCAGCACCTGCTAATGTGTGCTCACCTTTTTCTCTGATAACTTAAGATCCAGACATTCAGGAGGTTTTTCCTGTGAGCCTGCAGAGGTCTCTCCCTGTCCAAAACAAACAGACCAGGTGATTTAAATATGGTGTTGCTAACTACGGTGGCGGACACAAAGATGTGAATGGCCCTATCTAGAGCCAGTGATTCGGTTTGGTTTGTCCATTGTGGGCTACAGTAGAAACATGACAAAGCACCATGGTGAACTCCGTAGAAGAGGATCCACTCACTATGTAGATATAAATCATTCTAAGGTATCGAAACACGATTCTTATTTTCAGGTGATTATACATGTAAGAACACATATATTACATCTCCCAAAATCCTACACTGGACCTTTAAGATGCACATTAAAGTCTAGATTTGACTTTTCCTCATAACTGTCTATTTAAACTGTTTGCTCCCTGATGCAGTACCAGTTAAAACTCATTGTAAACGTATTTGTTTTGCAGTTATAGACCGTACGCTATACACTGTCTCACTCAAAGTTTTTCTTTTTTGTTTTTGTGCTGATGTGACACAGTACGCCTTTTGTAAATTGTTTGTGATATAAAACTTTATTTATGATCACATTGTAATTGTAGATATCATGTACAGTATTTAGTGCATTTAAACACATTTACCATTTATCAGAGATAACTCAAAAAAAGAAAAGAAAGAAAGAAAAACCAAAAAATGGAAATCAAGCTTTTCATTTATTGTTAATCTCCAGAAATGTCTGGATTTCCTTGTTGAAACTTTTTGTTGAACATGACAGAGTAAAACAGAACACGTGAGTGATGGGAAACTTTAAGGTGAACATATAGCAATAGTTTTATGTTAATATTGTGAATAGTGCTGTGTTTCAGTTTTCTGTGTGTCATTTTCAGTCGTGATGTTCTGACCTCAGTAACTGACATTTACGTCATTAAATATTTTGAATACATGTATCTCTCTGACTCTCCTGTGGCCTGTTCACTGACAGCTTGTCTCATCTTTTGCCAAATTCAAGGTTCTTTCTTTCTAAATTTGCTTTTGATTTCATTGAGTCTCTCATTTTCTTCCTTCACACAGGGAGAGACAACCTCTTCTTTATCTGCTCTCCTACATTCTCCAGCCCTCCTCTGTCCTCCTTCCTCCCCAGTGACGTTGTCGACTCCTTCCTCATGTTACCAAGAGAGACTCTTTTCAATGATGTAAACTCTTTTTTGTCTGTCGGCAGTGAGAATTTCCTCTGAGGATGCTTCTTCTTCTTCAGGTTATCCAGTTTCAGTTTATCCAGTGCCCGAGGGATCTTCTTCTTCTTGCGTTTCTTATTGGGTAGCGCCCCCTTCAGCTGACGCCAGGCTTTGTTCAGAGGCGACTTCTTTTTCTTCTTCCAGATGAAGTGTGTTTTGGAGGAGGAGCCGCCCATCCCCAGGTAACCTGCAGGAGAAGTATAACATGATCAACCTGAATGTATGGAGTGTTCTGGAGGCCGGCTTTTCACAGCTGACGTACTGAAGGAAGGAGGAGCACAGAGAGCTGAATCTTGAAAGGAGGACGTAGTTTCTAGTCCCCTCTTTTATAGTTGCAGGTGTTCATTTCAAGTTGATTCAGATTTTTGCCCAATATCACAAAAAATATTCAAGTTTTTAAAAAGGAAATGTCAAAGGGAAATTCAGAGCATGTAAATTTAGGCTGATAGTTTCAAAAGTTGGTTATTTCAATGCTGTAAATCCAATAAAATTGTGGCCTTGATTTGCCTCCACACAGAGGATTATTACTAGATTATGTTGCAAACGAATATGTTAACATTAAAAAAGGTGTGCTTTAATCTATTTATGCTAGTAAAAAGAATAAAAATCAATTTTTCAAGAGCGCCCTGGCCACGAGTGCAGCATAAACATCATTACAACATTAAACACAAATAGACAAATACAGCTGTCACCACTTGGCAAACACAGCATCCAGTTAAAATGCAAAAAACAAACAAACAGCTCAATACAAAAAGATACATTTCACCATGATGACTTCGGTGAAAATTTTAGGAGCAATCACATTTATCAAGAGTGCTATAAAACTGACTTAAATCCCCCTATAGTAAACAGCTCCAACAATTTCAGGTCCTTTTGTTCATTAGTATTTAAAACCTTTTTTCCCTAGTTCAATTTGAATCTTGGGCACCAACATCTGTATAACTCTGTGAGAGTACAGGTGACATTAATTCTGGGTTTTACACATGTATGTACACAGATCAGAAGGAACCAGCCCCAGCAGAGATTTAGATATAAAAGTCAACCAATGCAAAAGTCTGTGGATGTACAGAGAAGGCTATAAAACAGCTGCATACAGTGTACAGTGGTGCATGCAGTTTCCCCAGACAGTAATAAAACGTAAAGCACAGTGGTACATAATGTCCGACTCATTTAGGCACTGGTCAGGTGCAGTCATGAAGAGCAGGTCACAGTAATAATCCAACAGTGGTGAACAAAAAATTGTTGTCAAAGTCAAGTGTTTGCTTGCCTGGAGAGAGAAACAGGATTTATTTCTGAAGAAGAAACTTAATTTAAGTTTCAGGTTGGAAACAATGTGGTTTGATTGACAACTTCTGATCAGTAATACTACCTAAATACTTACATGTTTTTATGTTGAATGATAAAAATATTTTTTCACAAAACTGTAAATTGTGCTAAATTTGATGTACATAATTGTAGTAGATGTCAATAGACATAAACATTAGGATAAAACCTACTGTTGTTCATTATATTCATGAATAAATGACTTTATTTCAAACTAAAATTATGACAAAAACATAATAAAAAAACAAACAAGACAAAGTTAAGTGTGTGAAAAGTAGTAGGTAGAAGTCAAACTTATATGTCCCTACCCCTTTCTTACATTTCTTCTTTAAACACATATATTATTTCAACAAATTCCCAAATTAATTCACAACTAATACCACCCCTGTGCTCTTGTTTACCTTTCAGGTACACACACAAAAATGTCTTTACAAACCTTACGTCGTCTTCTCAGAGCATAAGAAAGTGTTGCTCATTTGTGTCCTCCGTCCTGTGTCTAAAGATAACCAGCAGGTTCTTACCTTTATCATCATGTAAAGGATCTGATGGACCACATCAGATAGAATCACTGCCTACACCAAACTCACTAATGGAAAAATGTGTGAGAAAGGTCAGTGATTTTTTAACAAGCTGCCAACAAACAGGATGAAAACAAACTGGATGAAGGAACTGGTTCTGTGACATTCTTTGGCACTGACGTTGTTTCTGTTTCTACTGATTCAGAGATGACTTACAGCACACCCTCCTGTGCCCAAGAACACCTACAGCATGTTTATGTCATGTATATATGGCAGTTTATTTGACTTTATAAACGCTCTATGTGTGTCTCTTAAACGTAGAAAATTTAATGAGACTTTTTCACTGAAATTTATACTTGTCATAGTAGGGAAAAGCACAGCAGTTAGTGATAACATTAAAGGGACTGTTCACCCCAAAATCAAAAGTACATATTTTTCCTCTTATCTGTAGTGCTGTTTATCAGTCTAGATTGTTCTGATGTGAGTTGTAGAGTGTTGGAGATATCAGCTGTAGAGATGTCTGCCTTCTCTTCAATATAATGGAACTAGAAGGCACTCAGCTTGTGGTGCTCAAAACACACACACACACACTAAAAAAACATTTAAAAAAACTCAGCAGCAATGTCTCTTTGCAGAAATCATGACTCAGTTACCAAAGATAATCCACAGACTTTGCTATAAGCAGAAGGAAGTGTGCATCTACTGCTAGCTCAACTAGCACCACTGAGTTAGCTAACATTAAAGCTCCGGTGAGGACGACACCATTCATGTTTACATCTCTCGCTGTCACGAGCATGAGCCTCTTGTCCATGAGTAGATGAATGCTTCCCTTTACTGGTCATGGTTTCTGGAAAGAGACTTTGCTGTTGAGTTTTTCAAATGTAGTTTTTTGCACTTTGAGCACCACAAGCTGGGCGCCATCTTGCTCGATTATATTCATAGTTCCAGACTAAGTTCACTCGAGAAGACTTTAAGTTATTTGATATGTGCATGTGTATAGTTGTAACCCTTTTCGTCTCAGCACCTATAACTCACTAAATTTTTGCATCAGAGCTAGAGCTTAGATTGGGCCCAAAAAATCCAGCCCGACCCCACCTGAGCCCGTGTTCTGTCCGAGCCCGGCCCAGCCCGTCCCTTTAACTGTAATTATGAGCCTGAGCCCGGTTTAAACCCGACATTTTTTTTTAAGGATACGAACGTGGACATTGAAGGCTGACTCTCGTCTTTCTTTTCATGGCAAGCCTTCGTCATGTGCCTCTTAAGTGTCAAGGTCCCTGTCTTTTTGCTGTCATATACCAGCATCGTGCTGCATTTAGTATACTCGACGAAGCCGACACACACGTCGTCACTGTCAACAACTCAAGTGCACGGCCAGTGGCACCCTCCGTCCCCAGGTGTGATAAGTAGTTGGTTCCATAGCCTAGGTCTATTATAAGGAACCCGACCCGTCCAAGCCCGAGGATAGTGGCGGGAAATTATGGTCCGGGTCAGGTTCAGGCTTGGGCAAAGAATCTAAGCTCTGATCAGAGTTCTCAAATTTTGACACAAGGTACCCTTGTTTGTCTACTACAAATAGCAATTATTCCAATTTCTCCAACCAGGCTATAATCACAGAATTTTTTAACTGATGTCAAAAACAATGAGCTTCAGTGCTACAACCTGCCCACTGCCAGGGTAGGTTTTAACAGTAAAG